AGGGGGAATTTAGGGAATTTCAGGCAATTCCAGAGGGGTGGAATGGAGGAAATGCTGCTGGGGGAAAAGCCTCCGGAATAGGAACGGAACTTACGGGAGCCAGGGACTTATCCAGGCTTTCCGTACTCGAGGAGAATTCCTGGGAAAGGCAGGAAAAGGGGGGATCGGTCACGGGGTTTGGGGTTTTTTTTTGGGATTTTTTTTTTCCAAAGGGAAGAGAGGAAGGAGAAGGGAAAAAGGGGGAGAAAAAGCAACAGTTTAGCTCCAGGTTAATTTCTGGCAATTCCCAGGTTTTTTTTTTGGATTTTTGGTTTTTTTTTGGTCCCATCCCGTTGGAATTYTGAATTTTTTCCCGCCCTCTCCTGGAGAAATTCCGGGAGGGAAAATTCCACGGATCTCGAGCGGGGTGGGAGCAAATGGGATTCCCATAAAACCCTCAGATTTTTCCCGGTTTTTGGCCTCTGGGATTTGTTATCCCACATTCTGCTCCAAATTCCTTGGATTTYRYRCCGGGATCCRCCCCYGGAGCAGCCTCTTCCCATCACCAAAATCCAGTTTTTCCTTCCCAAAATTCCTGTTTATCCCTAATTTCAGCACCCCATGGAAACCATCCCAAAAATCCCCCAAATCCCTATTTTTCTGAGAGTTTTTATCCCAGAGCAATTCCTGATTTATCCAAACTGCCATCCCCAGGAATTCCCATCCCAGAATTTCCAAAATTCCAACACTCAGAGCCCACAAAAAATCCACAATTTTCTCCCAAAAACGGATCCAGTGGAGCTTCATTCCCTTAAAATCAGGATCTGATTGGGTCAAAAATTCCAAAAAAATTCCCCAAAAATTGAGGAAGTCATCCCAAAATTTATCAATGGAAGGAAAATCGATGGGAAAACCATCCCAAAATTTATCAGTGGAGGGAAAATCAATGGGAAAATCATCCCAAAATTTATCAATGGAGGGAAAATTTATGGGAAAATCATCCCAAAATTTAACAACAGAGGAAAAACTGGTGGGAAAACCATCCCAAAATTCATCAGTGGAGGGAAAATTGATGGGAAAATCATCCCAAAATTCATCGGGGGAAGGAAAATAATCCCAAAATTCATCAGAAAAGGGAAAATTGATGGAAAACCGACCCCGCCATCCACAGGATGGAACAGATTAAAGCAGGAAATTCCAGAATTTCCCGGGATTTCTGCTGGATATTCCCAGCTGGGCAGCTCCAGGGAATTTCCTGGGATTCTGGAGGGAAAAACATCCAGCGCTTCAAAAAATTCTGGGAATTCTCTGCGGGATATTCGGGATGGGGGGTGGATTCTCCGTGTTTTTGTGCTTTTCCAGCCTCTGGATCTTTTCCAGGAATCTCCCGGAGGCGCTGCCCTCATCCATCATTCATGGAAAGCTCCGGTTTCCCGTTCCTTTTCCATATTAAAGATTTATCCCGGTGGGAACGGCCCCGCAGGTTTTGGTTTTTTTTCCGGCCGGGAAAACTTCCAGAGCTTTCCTTGCTGTCCTTATCCCCAATTCCCGGAGTTTGGGATCCGAGGATTCCCAGGAAAAGAGGGAATGTTGGCAATGGTGAGAAAATCGGGGAATGTCCAGCGGATTGTGATCCTATGGAAATATGGGATGGGGGAACTGGCAGGAATTTGGGATTTCCGGGTCTTATCCGTGGGGGTGAGCCAGGGAATTCCCAGTGGGATTCCCAGAATTCCCAGAATTGCCAGTGGGATTCCCAGTGGAATTCCCAGCAAGATTCCCAAAATTCCCAGTAGAATTGTCAGTGGGATTTCCAGTGGGATTCCCAGCAGGATTTTCAGTAGAATTCCCTGTGGGATTTCCAGTGAGATTCCAGAATTCCCAACTGAATTCCCACTAGGATTCCCAGAATTCCCAGCAGAATTCCTAGCAGGATTCCCAGTGCGATTCCCAGTGGAATCAAAACTTTGGTTACTGACCCATTTCCCAGTGATTCGAGTAATTCCCAGCAATTCCCAGTCATTCCCAGTAGGATTCCCAGCCATTCCCAGTCATTCCCAGTCACTGCCAGCCCTTCCCAGTCATTCCCAGAGAAGCCTGAAGGAGCTCTGGGATGAATCCCAAGGAATCCCAACCATGACCCTGGAGATCTCTGGGATGAATCCCAAAGCATTTCCACCTCCTTGGAGCACAACCCCAACCCGGAATCCCAATTTCCCTGGAAATATCCCAAACTTTACCTCCTCCTCACTCTCCACCTTGGGGTTGTTTACCAAGTTTTGGGGCACAACCCCAACCCCAAAACCCCATTTCTCTCATGGAAATATCCCAAACTTTACCTCCTCCTCGCTCTCCACCTTGGGATTGTTTTGAGACACAACCGCAACCCCAAAACCCCATTTTCCCGTGTAAAATCCCAAATTTTACCTCCTCCTCACTCCCCACCTTGGGATTGTTTTCAGACACAACCCCAACCCCAAAACCCCATTTCTCTCACGGAAATATCCCAAACTTCACCTCCTCCTCGCCCTCCACCTTGGGATTGTTGGCCAAGTTTTGGGACACAACCCCAACCCCAAAACCCCATTTCTCTCATGGAAATATCCCAAACTTTACCTCCTCCTCACTCTCCACCTTGGGATTGTTTACCAAGTTTTGGGACACAACCCCAACCCCGGAAGATCTCTGGAATGAATCCCAAAGCATTTCCACCTCCATGGAGCACAACCCCAACCCCAAAACCCCATTTTCCTGTGTAAAATCCCAAACTTTACCTCCTCCTCACTCTCCACCTTGGGGCTGTTTACCAAGTTTTGGTACACAACCCAAACCCCAAAAACCCAAATGGAAACATCCCAAACTTTACCTCCTCCTCACTCTCTGCTTTGGGGTTGTTGGCCAAGTTTTGAGACACAACCCCAACCCCAAAACCCCATTTTCCTGAGTAAAATCCCAAACTTTACCTCCTCCTCGCTCTCCACCTTGAGATTGCTCGCCAAGTTTTGGGACACAACCCCAACCCCAAAAACCCAAACGGAAACATCCCAAACTTTACCTCCTCCTCACTCTCCACCTTGGGATTGTTTTGAGACACAACCCCAACCCCAAAACCTCATTTTCCTGAGTAAAATCCCAANGGATTGTTTTGGGACACAACCCCAACCCCAAAACCCCCACTTTCCTGAGTAAAATCCCAAACTTTACCTCCTCCTCACTCTCCACCTTGGGATTGCTGAGCCTTGGAGCACAACCCCAACCCCAGAACATCTCAGGAATGAATCCCAAAGCACTTCCACCTCCATGGTGCACAATCCCAACCCCAAAACCCCATTTTCTTGAGTAAAATCCCAAACTTTACCTCCTCCTCACTCTCCACCTTGGGATTGTTTTGGGACACAACCCCAACCCCAAAACCCCATTTCTCCAGTAAAACACCCCAAACTTTACCTCCTCGTCACTCTCCACCTTGGGATTGTTTACCAAGTTTTGGGACACAACCCCAACCCCAAAACCCCGTTCCTTTCCCCAGAAAACATCCCAAACTTTACCTCCTCCTCACTCTCCACCTTGGGGTTGCTGACCAAGTTTTGGGACACAACCCCAACCCCAAAATCCCATTTCTCCTCAGTAAACACCCCAAACTTTACCTCCTCCTCAATCTCCACCTTGGGATTGTTTTGGGACACAACCCCAACCCCAACACCCCATTTTCCTGAGTAAAATCCCAAACTTTACCTCCTCCTCACTCTCCACCTTGGGATTGTTTTGAGACACAACCCCAAACCCAAAACCCCATTTCTCTCATGGAAATATCCCCAACTTTACCTCCTCCTTGCTCTCTACCTTGGGGTTGTTTACCAAGTTTTGGGACACAACCCCAACCCCAAACCCCCATTCCTTTCCCCTGTAAATATCCCAAACTTTACCTCCTCCTCGCTCTCCACCTTGGGATTGTTTGGTACCAAGTTTTGAGACACAACCCCAACCCCAAAACCCCATTTTCCTGAGTAAAATCCCAAACTTTACCTCCTCCTCACTCTCCACCTTGGGATTGTTTACCAAGCTTTAGGACACAACCACAACCCCAAAACCCCATTTTCCTGAGTAAAACCCCAAACTGTACCTCCTCCTCAATCTCCATCCTTGGGATTGTTTTGAGATACAACCCCAACCCCAAAACCCTGTTTCTCAAGGAAATATCCCAAACTTTACCTCCTCCTTGCTCTCCACCATGGGATTGCTGAGCCTTGGAGCACAACCCCAACCCCAAAACCCCATTTCTCTCAAGGAAATATCCCAAACTTTACCTCCTCCTCGCTCTCCACCTTGGGATTGTTTTGAGACAGAACCCCAACCCCAAAACCCCATTTCTTGAGTAAAAATCCCAAACTTTACCTCCTCCTTGCTCTCCACCTTGGGATTGTTTACCAAGTTTTGAGACACAACCCCAACCCCAGAACCTCCTTTCTCAAGTGAACACCCCAAACTTTACCTCCTCCTCACTCTACACCTTGGGATTGTTTACTAAGCTTTAGGACACAACCCAAACCCCAAAAACCCAAACGGAAACATCCCAAACTTTACCTCCTCCTCACTCTCCACCTTGGGATTGCTGGCCGTGCGCTTCAAATTGCTGCCCAGACTGACCGAAACGGTGGCGTCCGATTTGGACCTCTGGTGAGTCCTTTTAGAAGGCGACAGCCCCGAGTCTGGAGCCGGGCCTAASGAAGGCATCTCCCTCTTCCTGTTTGAGCTGGGTTTAAGCTCGTCGGACAGGATGAGGCGGCGCAGTTTGGTGCCGCGGGAGTGGCGCTGCGTGGAGATGTGCATGTCGGAGGAGTAAGCTCCSAGCAGCAGCGCGCAGCGCAGCGAAAAATCGACGCTCTGGCGGCAGCGGTGCACGATGTAGGGTTTGATGGCGTCGCCCACGTCCTCGTCCATGTGGATGTACATGTTGAGCAGCTGCGGAAGGTAAAAATCCACCTCGTCGTTGCGGAAGCAGAAGAGCCGGTTGCCGATGTAAGCCTGCACGCCGGGCTCTTTGGAGTTGTAGAGRTACGAGATGGCCATGGAGATGTCGAAGAGTTTGGACTCGAAAAGGCGGAGAAGCCATGATTGYTTGGCTTGCTGGTTTTTGTGGCGCCGGCGCGCCGCGCGGGCAGCGCCCGARCCTTCCTCCTCCTCCTCCTCGCGGATTCCTGCAGGCTCATCCAGGCAGCGGATGGGACAGCTGTCACCGTTGGGGACGGTCACCCCGTCCGAGGGGACACCGTGCAG